ATTCATTCTGTGTAACTACAGCACTACCATCAAATAAAGGACTGTGATGCTGTTGCTTTCAAAACTGGTAATTCCATCACTTAGGGGCAAATAAAGCCAGGTCTGTCTCATCCAGACTTGTGCATTTTCACTGGATTCTCTAGAACTCCACAATTCAAGACTTCTTCTCCACTCCTGCTTTGAGTGACTGATAAATTTACAGGTTATTGGGCACGAGGCCAGAACACACAGACACACACTGTGATTACATAAACCTCATTTTCTTAGAAGCCTCTGATAATTAAAGACAGACTGAAAAATAAAAATGACCTAATCTAATAACCAAAGAAAAATTGTCATTGATTACTGATTTATTTTTCTTTGCAGCGTAACTTGAAAAAAGTAGCAGCATCTCTGTCTCCATCAAGGAGACTTGTTCCAGCTCACTCAGCCTTTGATTTGTTTATTCTTCACACATCAGTCTAGATGAATTGTTTTTCCCTCATCCGTGCTTAGCCCATCTTCAACACCTCTGCACTCTCCAGCTGTGTCAGTCTGCTTCACAGTGAGGTTTGAAAGCAGAGCAGCCCAGGTGAAGAGGGTCAGATCTGATTAGGCTGCATCAAGAAGGGCTCTTATCATCTCTGACCATGGAGGGTGTGAATGTTTAGAGCCCTTCAGTGTAGGGCACTATTGGGTTATCCTTTAGCAAACTCTCATGCTGGCTGTGCAGATCCCGTGTGTTTTCTGTCAGCCCTGCCAGCTTGGTCTGTCCTGAGCTCCCCGTGACAGTGACAATCAATGCTGCCTTTGGAGTGATATGTTCTGAGGATCTGGGAAAAAAAGAACAATCAGTTTCCATTTGCTGTGGCTGTACATCTTCAGCCAGCCTAGGGTCTGTGTGATAATGCTCGTAATTCAGGTTATTTTGTATTTGCTTTATGAGTGAGATTTCATGTGACAAGGTGTCAAACTGATTTACTGATTTCCAAAGGGAAAACGCCTTCTGCTCTTCATCCATTAATTCCCTAACGTAATCGATAAAAGCAATCAGTTGTGGATTTATTTTTTTTTCTCACGGAAGCTAACCCGGGATTAATCATCATTGACAAGATTAGGTCAGATTCAAATTTTGGTCTGCCTGACATCAGTTGTGAGAGAGATGGTTTTATAAGCAAATTGTGTCTCTGATAGAGGAGCTGAGCCTCCAGAGTGAAGGGTGTTAAGAAGAAGACTGTAGGAAGTGAAAGGCCAAGCAGTTCTTCACTTAGAAGTGCCTAGAAAAACACTTTTATCTCACTCAAAACTGTAATTTCCAGTTGCAGTCACCAAGTCTGTGTGGGGAGCTCTGGAGAGAGTGAGGGCACGGACACCTGCAAAGGCCTTTGCACAGATGACTGTGGGGTTCACAGTTCAGTCTGAAATTTGAAGAAATCTATGACGGACAGAGAGGTGATTTTCTTTGAAGTAGCACTTGCTATACATGTAGGTTGATGCCATATCAATGCAATTAAGAATAGGTTTGCAGCTCAGAAAACATTTTGATGCCCCTGTGCCCTACCACTGTGTGTAAAACCTTGGAGATGCTGCAGCAGAGTACAGAAGGTTCTCACTGCTCTGGAGTTTGTCTTCTAACTGAATGGCCCATTCCTGCTGCATTTTTCATGTTTCAATGGTAAAAATGCTTCTGCAACAGTAATGGGAAAGCTGCATCAGCATTTCCCTTGGTCTTGGGTCCATTATGTCATGTTAGCAACTGTGTCGTACTATTCTCTGTTGCTCATGCAGGTCTAATCCTGGTTAATTCTCTGGCAGCACTTGATTTTGCTGACCAAAAAATATTTGTTTGCAGCCTTGAGCAGCCTTCACTTCTTTTACAGTGTCCATCATATCTTCCCCTGCCCCCCTCAGTTCCACCTGTATTTATTTGCCTTTTATTATAAGAAATCTGAGGGAGAGCTGTGCACCCTCAGCTTTGCCTGTGGCTCTGCTCTGGGTGGGTGGAGAGATTAATTTGTAAGCATGTTGTAATTTTCAACTCATAAAGAAGAAGCATTTTTTTGCCTCTTTTTCTTCAGTTATCTGTTCTTTCTCTGGTTTTGATCCTGAACTCTCCATGGGGAAAAAAAACTCTCAAACCAAATAAAAACTGTCAAGACAGTTACTAGTGGCAGAGAAAGTGCCTAATAATCTCAGATATTGGGTATTAATGGTTAACTGTCTGTGTTTACACATACATAGTGCACATACTCATACGATTTTGCATCAGCTTACTAGTGAGAAAAATGCAATTTATGTAGTCACTCAAGTTTAAATGTATTTTAGGGGAGTATCTGTAATTTATAGGAGTAGATTTTGTACTCTTTTTATACCATTTTAAAATGAGCTTGTTAGTAGTTATAAAAAAACCTTGCGATGATCAGATTTATTTTTTACAATGACTCTTATTGATTATCTGTTTTTTTATAAAATAAATATCAAACTAGTTTAATTTCCTTAATTAGCTTACAGAGATTAAGAGAAGTACTCTACAGTTGTTTCTTGCAGCTGCACTGCTTTCCTGTTAAAATTTTTACATCATGGGTATGGATTAAAGTTGAGGGAAACAGAGAAGTCTGACCTGAACAGACACTAGCACTGCCTTAAAGTTCCTGCCTGAAATAGGAATAAAGATACAGCTTTGTCAACGAGAGGTTTTGCCTCAAGTGCTGCAGAAAAAACTAACAGACAATAAAGCCTGTTTAGTGTTCTGTTGTGGAAGGAAGTCCTGGTGGTGAAACACCAAGGATTGTCTTAAATTTGTTGGGGTTTTATTCCTATCTCATGTATGTACTAATTTGCACAGGGAAGGCATTCCTCAAAATGAGCATTTTCAGTACTTAAACTACAGGTTCTGTGTACATGTAGATAATTGAAATACTCTTGTGTTATTGGTTGAGATAATTTGAGCAATATATGGTATGAAAAGTGAATCTCTGAACAGTTGTTCTTGGTGCAAACCGTAGGCAGCAAGAGTTAAATGAGTCATCTACATCTTTTATTGCTAATATCAACACTTCAGCAATGCTAATCAGCTGTACTGATTTTCTGTTTTGATTTTCCTTAATAATTAAGCAAAAGATCTGGAATGCAATCAAGTTTTACTCTAGGGGGTTCATGCAAATTTTTTTTAATTTAAATTTTGTTAAATGTATCCTGGAAAAGGAAAGTTGCTGAAGTTGAGAATAAAAGAAAGAAAAAAAAGGGAAAATACCATTTACAGTCTGCTTAATCAGAGTGAATATTTTCAATGAAATCAGAACTTCATTGCAATTATTAGGTGAAAATACAGCTGCTGTTGAAATAGCTGCACGTTGACTGCTTTGCTGCATGCAGAGAAATAGTTACAGACCATGAAATACCTTTCAGCAGCCTGATTATTCAAGAACAATTCAGCAAAATTGGATCATCTCTGTGTCTTCAGATACCTTAAATATAATAGTTTCATGTTGTGAGCTTTTTTATGTTGAGTTCTGAAGTAAGAGTTAAGTAAAGTAAGAGCACTTTGTCTCTTTTTTTTCCCATGGTCCTGTGGTCTTCTTTCTCATATAACAATGTGATTGATGTAACTTGCTTTATTCTGTTGCATAATATTTAAAGTAAAAAATTGCTATTTCTGGATTAATTTACTGTGTTAAAAATATTTTTATTAAATCAAATGTATTTATTAGAAATTATTTTCTAATTATTTTCATTTATTACATTGCATTCTTTTTGAATTATTTTCATTTATTACATTGAATTATTTTCATTTACTACAGATCAGACTCAAGAATCTCATTTTTTTGTTACCTCTGTAAGCACATAATGTTAGAATCAGTGTGAAAGTGAGGAAATAAGGTCAAATGTTCACTGAAACAGAAATGTAGCTTAAGTCATTACAAATAAATTACATGTTAATAGCATTCATTCTGGCATTTGTGGATTAATGACCACTTGGATTAAGAGTGTTTCAGCATGCAAATTAAAATAATTTGCTTAGTAAAAGTGTTAAGATAATCTTTTCAGACCTTGATGTTACCACAGCAGCTTTCTTTTATGAATGTTTATTCTGTTCGGAAGCTGTACAGCCGGCTGAGGTGGGGGAATTAAGTTTTGGGGCATTCAGGTTTGAAGAGCAGTGGCAGTGCAGAGTGCCATGTGAGACTGTGCCAGCCATGGGGAGGAGGCACAAACCCTTCCTGTGAGTGAGGGACATGCAGGGCTCGGGTGCTTTGTCCCAGCTGAGCCTCTCTGCTCCTGTGGTCCTGAGCGAGTGGCGGCCTTTACTGCAGAGCTTGGCTCTGGCTTTGGGAGTGGGCACAGCATGGCTGAGCACTCCCGGCCTTTACTGCAGGCCTCAGCTCTGGCTCTGGGAGCGCTCCCAGCCTGGGTGTGGGATGAGGGACATGCAGGGCTCTGGTGCTGTGTCACAGCTGAGCCTGTCCGCTCCTGTGGCCCTGAGCGAGTGGCGGCCTTTACTGCAGAGCTCGGCTCTGGCTCTGGGAGTGGGCACAGCCTGGCTGAGCACTCCCAGCCTGGCTGAGCACTCCCAGCTTTTACTGCAGAGCTTGGCTCTGGCTCTGGGAGTGGGCACAGCCTGGCTGAACGCTCCCAGCCTGGCTGAGCACTCCCAGCCTGGGTGTGGGATGAGGGACATGCAGGGCTCTGGTGCTGTGTCACAGCTGAGCCTGTCCGCTCCTGAGGTCCTGAGCACTCCCAGCCTTTACAGCAGAGCTCGGCTCTGGCTCTGGGAATGGGCACAGTGCTCCCAGCCTGGGTGTGGGACACTGGAGGGGACAGCAGGGCCCCTGAGGTGCCGTTTGCCACCAGCTCACCTCGTGGGAAACGTCTCCGTTTGGGCTCTCCTTCCACAATGGGCATGGTGTCGCTGCTTCCTGGAAGTATCCCTTGCTTTACATTAATTATACGTGTGTCAACATTATTATCTTCTTTAAATTCTCTGTGGTATTACTAATGTATATTTCTTTTTCTCCTCACAGCCATCTCGTTGGAAAGATGGTTCTTCATTTCAACTCCCTTTTTGGCTTCCCTGTCATACTCCTGTACCACTGGATGGGTTCAGCTGTGTCCTTGAATCTGGAAGATCCCAATGTGTGTAGCCACTGGGAAAGGTAATGCTTCCCTTTTGGAAAAATAAGTGATGTAAATTCTGATGTCATAATTTTGCTTTGCTTTGCTTGGCATGCTTCAAATTATTGAAGGCTTTTAGCTGCGTTTAAAAACAAGGGAAAAGAATTCATTTTACTGCATGGGCAGGTGAGTTCTTGGATTAGTAAAAGACTGTTTGACAGTGGGCTGAAATGCAACTTTGCATTGGGGGTTAGGATGCAAAGAACCACTACAGTGGTACTAGCAATGTTACACAACCATCTGGGTACTAGAAGTGAGTAAAAATAGCTCTTTCCAATTTAGGTGAAAAGAAGTTTTACATATGCAAAATATAATTAACCATATTGGAATTTGGCCAAATTTGATTATGCTGATTCCTTCCTATTCAGCGCTCACAGGATCTGAATTAAGATTTGTTGTTTAATTATTTTGATGAGGTTCAGAAATTTATAACATGCAAAATGAAATTCATCATCAATGTAGTTGGTCTGTTTGTTCATCCAATTTCATGTGAATTGCAAAAAGCCACAATGAATTGGGAGAGGTTGAGCCTCAAGCATCTGCTGAACTTCTTTCCTTATGTGAAGGTTATGATAGTGAAAACAAGACTTCTGGTCTCATTATAACTGTTGTGCCTGTAATTGATCAGAGGGTCCATGAGAAAGTCTTAATTTTCACCGTTCACTTGAGGACATCAGTATTTCCTGCACTTACTGTAAACTCTGTTTTGTGCTTAGTCATGGGGAGTGCTGCTGAGCCACTGTACATTTATTTTTGATTATTGTGGCTGAATCTTTACAAAGAAAATTGAAATTTGTATTTACTTTTTTATAAAGTCTCTGTAATAAAATTAAAAAACAAACCCAACACGTAAGAACGCTCTTTGGGAATTTACCTCAGCTTCATGTAAAGGATTTGGCGCCTCTGCCTCAGCTGCTGTGTACAGTTCATGCAAGAATGTGTATATGAAGTAGTCACCATATTAAATACCTGTTTGTAGTAGTCAGGAATTTGTCTACAGTGGTACTGTCCTGAATTGTGTGTGCTTTGTTTACAGTTTTTGTAGATAGAAGTGGTTTTGGGGAAAGATACAACATAGTGAAAAAAAAATGGGAAAAATCCCCAAGTATAATTATTTACACTACATAATATAATTTAAAACTAGCCAATCAAAGTCTGCAGAAGGAAAAATATACCCAAAAATGCATTTAGCAAGCATGCCCACTTTGTTGTATGAACTTTTTTTTCCTTCTTGTGCTATCTCACAATCAGGGCAGAGCTCCAAATAAACTCAGTGCAACATTCGTGCTGCTGCCCAAAGCAGGTGACAAAAGGACAGAAGTATGAAAGGGCAAAGCCTCAGACAGAAGCTCCTAACTGCCACTGTCACTGATGTATGCTTTAAATAAAAAACAGACCTCAGTCAGTGGTAAAATGATCTTTACAAGTGGCGAGAAGGGGTAGAGAGTGCCCTGCTGCCTCAGGGTGAGAGCACAGAGCCTCAGGCAAGCGCCAGCATCCCGCTGGAATTTTGTTGGGCTGGGACAGCTGGGTGGATTAGGGCTGCTGATTCCTGCTTTGCCTTCTTGCAGGAAAACAGGGAGTAGGGTGTGTGCAGTCAGGGATGAGTGGCTCTGGAGGTGCTCCCCCTTGGCATAGATGGTGACAGCAGGATGGGGAGACCTGGCTGTCACCCTGCACGAGGGGCTCGGGCTCAGAGAGGGGGTGAGTGGAGAAGAGGCAGAGCTGGGTGAGCTGTTCAGTGTTCTGGCTGCTCCTGGGAATCAGTCCTGCTGCAGGAGCTTGCCACGCATTCCTGAATTTTCAAGCTCCCTTGCGCAACCCAGGGCTGGCTGCCAGCACAAACAGCTCTCAAAGAGTTTTCTGGGATGATTCAATATTTTCCCCTTTTGAGACAGGGTTCTGCTCCTCTTGTGTCCTACTGACAGCTTTGGAAGCTCTCAGCATGGATTTGTTTCTAGGACACTGTATAATTGTGTAATTTGGCAAAAAAATAATAGTAGGATTTTGTATAGTATTTCTGGGGGTGTGGTGTGGGTGGTTCTGTGTTCAAAATTATCCAGTAAGCAAAAGAAATTATGGTCTTCAGTATTCATTAATTTTGATTGCTGAGTAGACTGTTTGGTGGTGTGCCTGTAATGTAATTTTCCAGTAATTACTACTCAGGTGTATTTCTGTATTAACATTCATTTAGTATTTAAGTGCACTGGATGTCTTCCTATAGGCCCAGTTTTTTTCTTTTAAAAACTTGATCCCTATAGGGGTCAAATTTTAAAAGAAATTTCTCAGAAAGTTCTTTTTTTCTATTTTGAGTGATAATACAAGAAACCCCATTTTCTGTCTCTGTAACTAGTTGTTCAGTATCTAGTTCATTAATAAAAGTTTCTACAGGAGAACACCTAATGTGCACTACTTCCATTTGCTGCCTGTTTGAGTTACCGCCATTCTCACTTTAAGAAAAGTTAGGCTGACATTACATTTCTTTAAATGTCGAGTAGTGGAATTTCATCAAATGTGTTACACAGTATAAACATGATGACTCTCTGCATGCTTATTTTCCTTTGCAAGCTTTCTGTGTCATTTTTTTAGGCATAAGTATTTTGTTATATTTTTCCATTCTGTAGCAGGATTCTGTAAAAGACCTAAGTAAATGTACTAAAAGGACTTGCTTGATGATCTCCCTTTTTTCTCTCTGTCTCTCCCCAGTTACTCAGTTACAGTGCAAGAGTCATATCCACATCCTTTTGATCAGATTTACTACACCAGTTGTACTGACATCCTAAACTGGTTCAAGTGCACACGACACAGGTGATGTATAAATCCTAATATTGTCAATTGGCTTATATTGTTAAGAATCTTGACTCAAAATCAAGCATCATATGTAGGATTTTTTAGCTGTAGTGTCCACCCTGTTTAACTGCTGTGATCTGTGTCAGCTGGAAAATGCCTGTCCAAGCAATGTCACATAAATTTTAGTAGCAAGTTGGGGTGTACCATCCCATGGAGTGCCAACAGAAAGCAAACAGCTTGCGAAAAACTAAATTCTCCAGACCCTGCAAAGTGTATCTGTTCAGAAATATCACGGGGAACCCTTGTGTTCTGGGAGAAGTAAGTTTATGCTTTTTGAAAGAAAAGTGAAAGGATTTGTTAAAGGAAACTTCCTGTGCAAGCAGAAAGCAAGCAAGGGTTGAGTGACTAAAAACTGGTGACATCTGTAAAGAGCATTTTCCTCAGAGGAATATGCCCATAAGTATGAACCATCGCAAGTGAAAAATTCCCCATTCTTTTCCTGCTTTCTGACCACCCATGAACCTAAGGCATGTCAGGAAACCCCTTGGACTCTTAAAATTAGCGACGGATAAATCAAGGCCACTTGGAGCACTTTATTTCTTTTCTTGTGACACCTGAATGTTTTTTTAAGATGTGTAAGAGCACACATCCTGTGGTGCTTCTGAGCCAAGGTATGTGACAAACACTCCTTCCTCTCTTTAGGATCAGTTACCGCACTGCCTACAGACATGGTGAGAAAACGATGTACAGGCGCAAATCCCAGTGCTGCCCTGGATTCTACGAGAGCAGGGAGATGTGTGTCCGTAAGTTCAGCTTCTTGTTATCATTGTTTTGGCTTTGAAACTCCATCATGGCTGTGCTGGTGTGGCTCCCCTCTGATGGGTGGCCTGTGGAGGCTGGGTTGCAGGAGCTCAGGTACTCGCCAGCGATGTGTTTGCAGCTCTCGTTGGAGCCAGCTGAGGCTGGGCAGATGCAGGTGACAGGATGGTTGGATTTTAGGTGTCTGCATGGCCAGCCAGCTTTCATGTGGTTCCGGCTAATGACCGTGTGGAAAATGCGTTGTGCAAGCATCAGTGTTTTAAACACAAGGTTTAAAACCATGAGGGACGTGGAAGTCTTTTCTCCTTGGAGCAGACCCCAGCAGATCCTCATGCTGAGCCACTCTTGGGGGTACAGAGGTCTGTAACAAATCTTTGGAGGTCTCAGCACCTTTTTATGGTGGCACATACCTCTATCTAACCCAAAATTGGGAAAATTTGTGTCTGGGGAGTCTGGAGGCACCCTTGGCTCAGTTCTTTGTCTCTCTCGTTTGGCCTTGTGCAGACCTGGGGAGGTCTTAAAATGGTGTTTGATAAGAACGTGTTTTATGTCCTGGAATTTGAAAAGAAGAAGCTTTGATTCAAAACATTTTCTGCTTGTGCAAAAGCAAGGTCAAAATATTTTTTTAGAAAACTAATATATCTGATAATAATAAACTAATATATCAGATTGGCAATGCATTTAGCTTTTTTTTGGTAATATGTATATATTAGACTTACAAGAACCAATTTCTGACTACATTTGGTTATTATGCAGCATTTGTGAATAATGATATTTTATTTTTTTATGAGGTAGAATACTTTTTGAAGTGTGCTACAGTTTGATTCGTGATGTGATGACAGGTGTGATGGTGATTCTCTTATGTGACAGCAGCTTTTACACAGCTATAGCATATGTAGTAAATTCATTGTGTTAACACAATGATATTCAGGACCTGAAAAGTTCAAATACCATTGGACATACTAATTTTTCCTGTTACTACATGAAAATATGCCTGATTATGATACTCAGGACATACCTGCTGTGACCTCTGAAGTGATTGTGGAATGCCTTAGACTTTAAATTATGTGAAAATACAGATCCTTCAGTGTAGCTGAGTTTGCAGTTATTTGACTTTGGAAGAAAGAGAGAGACCTTCATACTTCATCATCTCCAGCTGGAGCATTTCCATTACTCCAATTTTATTTTCATGCTGTGTAGATTATTTTCTTTACCTAGTGGAAGAATGTAAGGTGCCTCTAAAAGGTTAAAATTCTTGTGTTGTTGTCGATATTTTGTTGTTTGTTTGTTCCTTTATTTGACTTCTCAATTTAGAAACGTAAATTAGAAGGGTCTACTGTTTAGATGGTTTTGGTATGACTTGACATTGCATTAATTGAAATTTCATTGCTGCTTCTCAAAAATAATAGGAATCTGTGTCATTTTGTCTTTAGGTGGGTTGACATGAAAGTGTATTTTAATTTTAATTCCAACATGAAATGCAGTCAGTACTTGGACTGTTTATAAGAGTGTAGTTATCTTTTTAGTGAGTACTCATTCACTTTCACTAAAAAAATGTGCTTTGTGCTGTCCTCATGAAACTCCTGTTCACAGAGGATATAAATAACGCACAAATTTCTCGCCTCTGTCTCCACTACTGCCAGCACCTCTGTAGAGCAGTAGGTGAAGTGGACCTCAAGCTGTTATTTTACTCTTATGTTTGGACCTGACGCACTTTCTGAGGTAATCTAAATGCAGTTTATATGTGGATACAAGGGCAGAACAGTAATTCTGTGAAGTTGTGTTAAGGAGCTGACTCCTGGCAGAGTGGGTGACTGAATTTCGTAGTCACTCCAAAGAATTTCCTGCCACTTGTCTGCTACTATCAGTGGCAATCCCTAGGAGATTAGGCATATGAATACTAGGCTTAGCTACAGACTAGAAACTTTTTCAAAAAGTGCAATTTATTTTTTTTTTAGCATGTTTCTGAAAAGGAAGATTTCAAAGGTTTTAAGACATTTTCTAGTGGCTTTCTTGAAGATGGACACACAAGCAAAGGCTGATTGTTCCTGGCAGCTTGAACGTTTGCCTCACTTAGTTTCTAACATCGTAGTACATTTCTAAGCATCTTAATGGAGAAGTTTTTATCAATCTTAATACTGAATTTCCTCAAAACATGAAATAGAAAATGCACCATCCATCTTAAGATATAACAGGATATCATTCACTTTACTAGCAGTTAGCCATCAAGCACAGGAAACAAGGATCAAACAAGGGATATGTTCAAGCATACAGTGTAAAAGTGAGGGATTTATTTGAAAAAAACATGTTTATAGTGTAGTTTAATAGGTAATTTATTTTTTCCCACGACAAATGCTTGTTTCAATTAATTTGGAGGAAGTTGGAGCTAAACCTTGCAGTCATTTAATTTATGTGCATAATTATGTAGGAAGTGTTTCAATTTTATGTTAACTGGTTTATGGCTGGCTTTTTGAAGTGAAAAAGAAACAGATCCTAAAATGCATGCATAAACTTACATCAAAGATAAAAATACTTTTTTTCAAGTTTTCTTTTAAACATCAGATAATGAAGGCAAGAGTGTGGAAAAGATCTTGAAAGAACAATAAAGCACAAAAAAAGGGCAAATAAGATGTAAAAGCCAACATGCAAGACTAAACCCAGATTGCTTTTCATGCAATAATTGAGCTTTTTCTTGCAAAAAAAAAAGAAAACATGGCAATTGCTGCCAGGGAGTTTTTGGTGCTTCTTCACGCTCATCAGTAAAAAAAAGAAGACCCTTCATGTTAAGTTTGTCATCTACACCTGCATATAAGCATTTTTTTAATACCATGCCAAACAATTCCATAGAAAACCAACAGAAACTATTTCATCTGCTCCTGGTGTTATTCACATCTTTTCAGCTTCATTTTTATGTTGTCCTCACCTCTGTAGCTCTGTGTAGTAAATTTTGGTTCTCTCATCTCCGTGTCCACTGCAATATTCTTTTTTAACATGTGCTGTCTCTTACAGATGTAGGATTCACTTGCCAAGAGTCATTTAGCCCAGAAGGTGTCTGGAGAATAATTTCTTTTGGTTGGAGAATAGGTTTTCATGTTTATCCAGAGTGTGGATCCATGTTCTGAGCGCGGGCATGAGGAGCAGTGCAAGGAGCTAGGTCTGGTTTCTTGCAACTTATTTATTTTTCTGCTCTGCTCCAGCTGCCTCACAGAGGAGGTGGTGGAGCGTTGCCTCATTGTATGTAGGGCTCAGTGCTCAGAAATGCGGGCTGGGGATGTTTGCATTCCCTGGGTTGTTCCTACGAGTGCTCACACTGCGTGTTTACAGTGACCTGCGCCTGCCTCACGGCTTGCTGGCAAGGGTTTCACACATTTGGTTTGTGGCGAGCCCCAGGGCCCAAGGCAGCACTAACTAGGAAGGAATCTCCAAAGATGCAAGTGATTCACGTCAAGTTACGAGACTAATGGAAAATTGTGATGTATTATTTAAACTCAGTCTTTCCACAACACATAAATAGGCAACAGCGCTCTGTGTTAATGCCTTGCTTCATCAAATGTTTAAAAATTATTTTTGTCCCTGTTGATTTCTAATGAAGATCATTTTAATGCACGTCTGAAAAGCAGCTTGTTAGAAATAGTTGAGAATTAAAACTGAAGGGTGTAAAAATAAGCAGTTAATGGCTGGGATCCCGTATAATCAAAAATTTTTATTTTATTGATCTTTGTGTGGTTTTCCTTTTTCTTGGACACACTAAATGTAAAGATGACCAATGTGCTTCATCATCTTTAATTGAGAAAAACCCAGAAGTTGCAAGTGTTTTACCTAAATACCTAATTACTCTAGAATAGTTTCAATCATTCAGAACCCCAGTGATTCATATGTAGCCCCATGAAACTTCTTTTTAACATGCACTTTGTCTTTTTCCCTTTAACTTTTTATTCATTTATATAGCAGTCAGATTTCCAGTTTCTCTGGAAATGTTGGTACAAAGAAAAATCTCATCCTGCACACATTTTCTAAGTTTTATTGTTATTTAAAGTGGAAGGAAATTATTAGAGCACATGTATTTTGGAAAATTAGGGGTAATTTGTGATTAATATCATGACAGCAAATTGTTGCTAGTCAGAGGTTTTTCCTCTTGGGTGTATTGTGTTCTGGCATTGATAATGCTGGATATCAAAGTAATTTCAGTTTTTTCTTAGATGTTTCAAACAAAAGGTCTGTTTCAAAGAAGGACTTATCTTAGAAACGTGTTTGCGAATCATAAAAAAGAAAATAAATTCAAGTGCACCTTGTTTAGCACTTAGAATAAAGGTTGCAGTGATTAATAAGTTTTATATGTCATGCTTTACTTCAATCACTGTCACTGTTATGTTCTTCAATTGAACTGTGCAATCATTTGGAAAAGTTGATACTAAAATGTCGGTGTGTTGCAAATCTTACTTTATCCATGCTGTTGCAGAAGAGCATTTCTTTGGATGCCTGCTGAAGTTCCCCTCTTTTTTCTTGGCATGAGGGTCAGAGGATGGCTGAGGTGGGAAGGAACCTGTGGAAGTCATCCCATCCAAGTTCAGGCAGGGCCAGCCAGAGCCTCTTGCCCAGGACCACAGTCAGATGGATTTCCAGCCTAGATCATACTTTGACTCTTTTTTCATTAAATTTGGACCATTTCCTCTGAACTATTTGCGTAATACTAACACATTTTTAGCTGGATTCTTCAAACTTAGGAGAAATGGAAGAGACTGAAGTGAAATATATTTTTAATAGACGCCACCAAACACACTGGTATTTATTTTGCTTTTAAGAGGTACTTGAGACACGAAAGAACTGGGTTAGGACTATTTTAGAGTATTTTAAAGAATATTTTTCCCAGTGGTAGGAGTTCTGTAATTGTTTTTTTTTTAATTCCCTTCTCTGACAGCTCACTGTGCTGATAAATGTGTGCATGGCCGTTGCATTGCGCCCAACACCTGTCAGTGCGAGCCTGGCTGGGGAGGACCCAACTGCTCCAGTGGTGAGTTTTCACCTGCTTCTGCCTGTCTAGTACTCTTTCCATGGTGTTGTCCTCTCTTTTGGGCAGATAATCATCAGTTCTGTTCTGGGCTTCTGCTCTCTGATCAGGGCTTTTTTCTGAGTTATCAGGTTACTCAGTGTAACCTGATTTTTCTTCATTTACTTGCAAACACTGTTCCCACGTAGCAGCATTAATGAGCTTTCTTTTTTTTTTTTTTTTTTTTTATGTACTCAGAGACATGCAGATTGCACAGTATCTGGAGTAAAGACATAGTTTTATTTTACATGTAAGAAAATCTCACAGTTTTTACTTCACTAACGTGTGAAGTTTGATGGTGCCAAGTCACATTTAAAAGCTATGAGGAAAGCCTTCCTAGCAACTCTGTCCTCCTTTTTCACTCTGACACTGACTCAACCATTTTCCCCTTCTCTCTTCACTCCCTGAACTCTCAATGTCTTTCCATTGTACTCTGGTCAAATTTCTCCCACTTCCTTCTCCTTTCCCTTTGCATGTGCAGGAGATGAGGAGAGTAGAATTGTGCTGAACACAAATCATTATCTTTTCTTCTGAAATACAGTTTCTCAGAGTAATTTTCCAATTCATTATACTTCTTTATTTATTCCAGCCTTGTGGCTATCTTTTTAAGATCTTTAAAAATGTATTTTTGAGGCTAACATAAAACCACATATTTTGATACAATCAGGTTCAAGGTGGGTCTCTGCTAGTGATTGTGCAGTTGAAAGAAATGTATTTTAGCCAACAATAAAAACAATTGTATTTACAAATTAAAGTCCATAGACCTTGTAAATCTCTAACAAACAAATTGCAAAGATATTACACTGCTAATTTACTTAGTACATGATTCCTATAAAATTAACAACTCCCATTATCTTTCTTTTAAAAAAGGGGAAATGTTCTTCAGTTTTCAAACATGTTGCTATCATAATTCATCTGGAACTGATCTGTTGCTCCAGCATCATATTTGTTAGCATGAGGAAGAATTTAACTATTTTAAAATTAACTACATTTGTTGTGTAGTTTTTTTGCACGCTTACATGGGATTAATGTATAGCTCCAAAGAAACACCCAAGTTTTGCATAAGGCATAAAACTGAAAGAGCCATTGTTCTTTCACAACAGAGTGTTGCTGTAAGACTGGTCTTAATCTAATGTACCGAATTGTCAAAATAAATTGTCAAAACATGCTATCTTTCTTTCTGAAAACCTTATGCATTAAGCTCTTCTGTAACTAATCATACATGCAGAAGAAATGTGAATCATTAGCACAGATTGCAAAAATACTGTTATTTACTGAGATTTTCAAGCCTGAAAGTGTGCTTTAGATGAGACAGGAACCTCTAAATCTGCCTTTGGAAGTAACCCTTCCTCTTGCAGGATTTCTGTCTGGCATAATTCACTCTGGGTACGCCTCCAGCTCTTTTCCTCTGCTTTTTTCTCAGCTGGTTGCCTTTTGTGTACTTTTGAACAGTGATCTCTGGAGAGGCTGGTGATCCTCTAAAGGCTCCTGGGTGACATTAGGGCTACCTGGAACTGCCAGAATTATTTTGGGATTACTGGTGTAGCCCTAGGAGAAGGGGGTAGGCTGGGGAAGGGGATATTCCTGTGCATGTGCTACAGGAACATTTGTTCTGGGATTTATCCCCTTCTGCGTGGACAAACCTGAGAAAGTTGCTGATTTCCCTCGTTTGTCCTTCTGAGCTCGAGAGCTGACGTTTGCTGCTATCTGACCATGATCTCCTTATCTGAAGAGCTACAGCACAGGTCAAATTGAATTGAGGAGTAGTGGATAGTGTTGGAAATAGCAGAAAGTGAGAGGGGCTTGGCTTTCTGAGCCTTCTTGTTGCTTGCCCTACGCAAAAGATTTTGGTGCTCTGCCTTTAGTTGTATTTTCTGCATGATCCCCAACTTGGTTTTAGCTTTAGTCACAGAAAGGTGCAGTGATACAAAATAAAGATATGTGCTTTTTTAAAATAATGGTTTTTTATATAGCAAGTTATTAATTCAGTAGGAATATGTGCATGTTGCCCTACTGTAATAATGTCCATCAAATAATCACTTTCATTACTTACCTGAATGGTGGAACCATATTTGAAAGACAGGCCATTGTCTTTGTAAAGCAAAGGTTCAGGGATTTTATGGCTTCTGATGACCAGATAAAATGCCCTGTCTCAAAAAGAGGTATTATCCTCAAAGTGTGAGGTATTAGGCCAACTTCCAGATGCAGTCATCTGTTCATTTTCATGGATTCACACATATGGGAAGGAACTGTTCTACCTAGGGACCAAACATTTTGTAAAACTGCAAAAAGAAACATTTTCTTCCAAATTGCTGTCCCATCTCTATTGGAATTGTTTATTCTCCTTACAAAGGAATTTTATCTGCAAGTATCGGAGAACAGATTTAGTCCTGTTACAGCATCTGCCAACCCCCAAACTGATTTTTATCTGTTGTTTCTCAAGGAGGGAATAAATTTTTTTGGTGACTCCCATTTCCTTTTGTAGCAAATATTACCTCCTTATTGCTGTGACTCCTTGCCAATTCCTGAATGGTTTAGGTTAGTGGCTGCTCTCAGTTTAGGGAGAGGAGGCCTAAGGCTTGACCAGAGTGCTGAGCCTGTCTTTTTTCAGTGCTCACTTCTAACCCAGACTATAACTCTGCTCCTCACCACATCCTCTGCCTTTCTGAAAAAATTACATCCCAGCTGAGTGGGAAGCAGGATTGGATCTATTCTTCAACAAGGAAAACCTCAGTTGTGGCTTAGCAGTTTTGTTAATTAAATAATGCAACCTTGGGGAACATTTCTGCACAAGGTGTAATTTTTCTTCAGGTGTTTTCTTTTTATTTAAAGGAAGTAGAGTGTATTAGACAGTGTTTGCTTGCAGTGATGGAAGTCAGTGTGAGGTGGATCAAGAAAGTGATGATAATGTGGATATATCTGAGAGGAAACACCACTTGGATCAAGAGATCAGTCCTTTGCAGATCACTGCATTTTGGTGGGAGAGATGACAGTCATGCAAAACAATTTATTCCAATACAGATTTATTGACTGAACACAATAGTCATGATAAAGGAGTGGACAGAAGATGTGTTGAGTGAGAGGAGCAAGTGAATTAGCACAATCCATAAGTTCCCCCTTGAAGAAATACTTGTGAATTCCAGGAATATAAGTTGGTCATTTCTGGGCTAGGGACAAGTGCAGTATTAACAAAAGTGCATAGAGTGATAAATGTAGGTTAAACAAATAGATTTTATTGAAGAACAAACAAACTGGCACAAACTTTTGCCTCCCAAACTAAACTGTTTTCTCAAATTTTTAACTGGCATGTGTGTGATTGGGTTGTTTTTAAGACTGCTTTTGAGTACAGGTTGAGAATAGAATAGTCTTCTGTAGAACTTTTGCTAATAGTTGAATTATGTGCTAATGTCTGTGTAGATGTGGAGATGATCAAACCCTATTGTACATTTGTAATTTATGTTTCCTGCTCACACTCCTACAACACTACTTTATCTCTATTTATAAATGTTATTTATTTAAATTATTTATAGATATGTGATATTATTTATATTTATACTGTTATCTATATTATAATGGATAATACATGAACCTGATTGTCAGTTTTGGGTGAGTGTGAAGTTCAGATTAATTTCCTTTATATCTATTTATAAATTTTATTTATTTTTTTATATTATTTTTATATGCTAGTATTTATATTTATATTTGTATTATTATCTATATTAAAATGGATTATACATGAACCTGATTGTCAGTTTTGAGTGTGAAGTTCAGAATAATTTCCTTTATATCTATTTATATATATTATTTATTTATATTATTTATAGATCTGTGATATTATTTATATTTGTATTATTGTCTATATTATAATGGATAATACCTGACCTGATTGTCAGTTTTGAGTGGGTGTGCAGTTCAGGGGGTGTCCTGTCCACAACCAGGACACTCATTTTGTTTTTTTCTTCTCATGCCTAGCAGTCCGCAGATAATTCCTTCAAAATCAATAGGACACTTTCTGGATAAGCTGGAGCAGAGGCAAAAATCAATATTACACTGACTGGTCTGAAATGGTTATAGCCTTGTGATCCCCCCCTGGCATGAGTGGTAAAGCAGAAAAGGGAAAGACATGTCCTTGATTAATGACCAAACAATGTTTGTGAATATGGGAGTGGGATTGTTCCATTTTTATTATGCTGAAGTAATCTTGATACTTGTTTGAATCACTGGGTTCTAATTTGTAATTTGATTCTGTTGGTGATTAGCAGAGCTTTATTGGGACTATAGTCTGAAGTCATGGGAGTAGAAAAAGTGGTGTGAAGACATAATTTGTCTCCGGGGTTTTGTGAAGCATGAGAAGAAAATTGGATTTTTCCTTAATACATTAAGCTGCAAGTCTAAGGCTGGCACCTCAGAGAAACCTTTACCTTTAAATGGGCTTTATTAAGGTAACTTTTAAACCACAGTAGCTCTGCTACTATCAGATTTCCTTCACAGCAGTGGGTGTTTTGTAAAGTTCGCAAATTCCGTGAAAATCTCGCTGTTTTCTTCATGGGCCTTGGCAGATGCAGGCCGTGGCAGAAACTGGATCCCTTGGCACTGCTGTGTGTGGGACACTCACGTGAGCCATGGCAGTGCCAGTTTCCCAGTGCAGCCCTGGATTTCCTTTAACCCTGCAGAGGTGCAGAGACAGCCTCCGTGGAGCCTGCCTGGAGCCACCTTGCACACTGATGGCACAGAGTCCTCCTAAACTGAGCTTTTTCTGGGCCAGGACATTGCTTTCCCTTTCCCTTTTTCTTTCTTTCTTTCTTTCTTTTTTTTTTTTTTTTTTTTTTTTTTTTTTTGACCAATGCAGCTTGCAAGATACGCTCAGGGAGTTAGCTCATCCCTGAGTCTTCCAGGCCGTCCAGCAGGCTGCAGAAATAAGTTCTGGTTTTAACCACATCCTTGCATTAGGAAGGCTTGGTTCC